AAAAATTAGAAAGTTTTTATAATGTGTTTAGTTTAAAATAAATTAAGTTATTTCCTGATTATTTAAACACGTTAGAATTGTTTGAAATAAATGTCAGTATGAAATATTAATATTTATCCGTCAATAGGTTTTGAATTGCAAAGTGTAACCAACAAAAATGTCTTGCAGGTACCAAACTTTAGATTTCTAATTGAAAATAAGTACAAATTTGAATTTCTTTCCTTTACTTTATTATTATTCTTTTTACTACATATGTATGCTTTGATAAATATCTAGAAAGAAAAATTTTAAATGTACATAAAATAATTTTTGTTTTGTTCATAACGATTTTTCGTTTTACTAAACAACAACAAAAAAAAAAAGTTCGGCCCATCAATGTTCAGACTGTGCATTCAGCCCGCATTGCAGTTTGAGTTTGAGACGACTGAATTTCTGTTAAAAGTAAGAATGCTTCAATTCAATCAACTGCTGGGCATCTTCCCAATCCCTGAGAGAATTCTACATTAATAAATCTGTCATTAATAGAAGGCCAATCAAGATATATTAGCTTCGTGGCTTAGTCGTTGAGTCTATGAAAGTAAATCAGAAATATTCGTTTTAAAAGGGTAAAGAAGAAAACGGCCGAGGGTTTCATAGCGAGGGCTTATTTGTGTAATTTTATAGTTTTCTGAGCTGTTTAATGTATGATTTAATTAACTAATTAATATACGACTTTCTGTGTTATGAATCAGAAAGCCTGAGTTTTATAAAGAATAGATACTAAGATTTTATCAGACAGATAGTAATTTACATAAAAGGGATAATATTCTGTGCTATTTTACAGTGTAGTTTGAGTAATGTGCTCCAGTGATTCAATACGATTGCTCACACCATCTTTAGGGCACAGCGTACATGTTGTCTGTCTGAAACCAAATGACAGCTTTTTATATCTAGGACACCATCAGCTAATGCTTTAAGTAATTAAGTTCTGAAGCATACAGGTTACAAGCTAATTACAGTATGAATGGCAGCTATTGAGGAAGATGGTTATTATTTCAAGATATTCCTTATCATTAATTCAGATTTTCTTTTGTAAATTGTTTTACAAATGGAATAACACAAACAGCAAATTTAAGATGAAACATACCAAAAATTTTTAATTGCCTTTAGAATGTACTCATCCACAAATATAAAACATAATACAAGTTAATCGAATTGCTGAACATTTAATAAATTCACCAAGATAAGGTTTCTATTATACTCTGTAAGGAATTTGCGCCTGCACTATATTTCTATGTTATTATAGGCTATCAGAAGCGAGAACTAAAATTAACTTTCATTTGCAATAGTCCTTTAACTTTCTATTTTAATTAATTTGTGCATTTCCTCTTTCTACCCTAAAAATAGCTACTGTTTATAATAAATCTGCCTAAACTGCGTCATTTCAATATTAATCCATGTCATATGATTCTTGATTAACGCCATTGATGCAAGTATTTAATGTAAGGTTTCAGCCAATAATAATTTTAGAAATTTATTACTAACCAATTAAAATAAAGCTTAACCCAAACCAAATCATTTTGAACAAACATTTCAGATTGAACACGTCACATCCTCTCTCATGCTTCGCTACTGTTAACTTGCTGCTGGCTGCTGCTGCTTTTTTTTTTCAAATATAATTCAACCATATAAAATGGTTTCGATATAATTCTTCAAGAACAGATACACTGTACGCCAATTTCCTTGCTTTGGTATAAAACATTTTATAACAAAAATAAAGAAATATTAGATTCGGTACGACTGTTAACATCTTTAATGTACTATACCTTTGCACATCGACTATCCTCTCTAATGCACCTTGTAGGGATTTATATTTATTTTGAATAAACAGTTATGCATTTTTTCCTATAAGCCGTCATTCCCCTGATTGTCAATGCCTGAATATTTAAATTTGGTACCGCGCGTGAAGGAATACAAATTCTACCATTAGGAGAAAAGGCTTAAATACTAAGTTCTAGAAGGGAAAGTTAGAAAGAGTGGGCAAGCACTGTACCTTTGTAGCGTAAGCTTCTGATTCTGATTTATTGCTGATTAAAGTGGCGTAACAGCTATTACTTTGCTACTACGAGACCTCGACGCGGTTTAAGGTAACAGGATTATCTAAGCCGTGGGGAAAATTCTACTGTTGTGTTAAATAACTTTGAATTTTAATTTTAATTCTTGTTAGTTGAGTTACCGCCCGAGCGAGGCGTAGTCTGTTAGCGGCAATTCGATGCATTGTGAATTTTTATAGAGTCTAATAAAGGGTTATTTTAACCTTTCAGCTGTCACACTAAAAGATTGACAAGTAGATATTACAACCTAGCTGCATCACTTCGTAAACCATGTTCTCCGATCCGCTGCGACATGAACTTCTAAACTATTACACAGATACACAAACATATGTATATATATATATCAAAGACTGAATTAAATTAAATACATTAATAAATCGAAATAAATTTCCTAATACTTGCGCAATAGCTGCAAAGTAATAAAATAATAATTTATTTACCAGTGGATTATTGAGTATATTATCTCATTAGATAAGGTTAGTAGAATGAAGTAACTTGAAGCACTGAAAATTGAATTTTGAAAAAAATTTTCAAAAATCTTTTTATAAGGAACTTCAATTTGAATATGAGAAAGTGAAATGGAAACTTTTGAAAATTAAAAATTAATTAATAAATCAAGTAATTATCGTCATTGATCGAAAATTGGTTGACTTTTCAAGGGGAACATATATATATATGCATGTATAATATATACATGTATATGCGCGTGTATAATATATACATGTGTTTTAAAACGCCTTGTGCATATATATATATGTATATACCCAAGGAGTTTTTAAAACTAATGGAAGAAACATTAAAGGATGATAGAATACGCCGAAACATCGCAGAATGCATTGTCGAAGATTACGCAGCTAGCCTCCGAGCTTAATCATATCTGTCTAATCTTCATTCATATTTCAATCCATTTTAAGTTACTAATGAATCTGACAATTGAACAAGAATCATGAATATGATTATTTAGCCGGAAAGACGACGCAAATCACGATGTCTGAAAGTAAGACCACTCAAGAAACATGATGAAATTCTGATTCGAGTGTCCTTCTGAGGGAATGATTAAGGAGGCAGTAAAGAAATGAAACCATTTGTCACTCAACCCACAGTGAACTGAATGGTTTGAAAGAAATCTTGAAGAAATCAATAAATTTAGAGCATTTATTGTTTTGGTCTGGTGTGCTTTATTTGATTATAGCAGAACACACTAGAGCTATCCACCTAAAAGCAGCAATGCCTACGTGGAGAACTTTCTAGGGAAAACTGGCTCATCTACATGTTCACACAAAATCACAAAAACGCTCGTGCAGCCAGCCCGTTCGCTTATATTCATGCCGGAACTACCAGTGCTTAGCGATTTTACTGCTCGGCCGGTGGTGGGCCTTGGAATATTGAATGAAAAGGCATCAATAGAAAAGCAAATTTATGTTGTTTAGAAGCAGATACAAACAAAATATCTGAATAATTATGAAATAAAAACAAAAACAAAATTAAAATGAATTTAGAAAGATTATGTCGTTGCATGCGAAAACCCAACTCTTTTACAAGCGCGGCCCACCAGCGGCCGAGCGGTAAAATCGCTGAACACTGGTAGTTCGGTTCGAGGTTCGAATCCCGCAAACGGGCGGGCTGCATGGGCCTTTTCGTGGTTTTCACCATGTGTAACGTGTATACGAGCCAGTTTCCCTTAGAAAGTCCTCCACGCAGGTATCCCTTTCCCTTAGGCAAGTAGCTCTAGTGTGCTTTGCCGTATTCTCAATAAACCAAACCAAACCAAACCTTTTATAAGCGCGCCTGAAAGTGTTTTAATGAAGCAATTATCAAATAAAACGTAGAGGTAATTCTAGTTTTAGAATTTTTGTTATTTAAAATTTCTAAAATGTGTAACGTGTATACGAGCCAGTTTCCCTTAGAAAGTCCTCCACGCAGGCATCCCTTTCCCTTAGGCAAGTAGCTCTAGTGTGCTTTTCCGTATTCTTAATAAACCAAACCAAACCTTTTATAAGCGCACCTGAAAGTGTTTTAATGAAGCAATTATCAAATAAAACGTAGAGGTAATTCTAGTTTTAGAATTTTTGTTATTTAAAATTTCGTCGAAACGTATTTTGACATTCAAAGAAATCAAGTACCGTATGTAAAAAAAAAAAAAATTAAGACAGAGAAAGAAAGATTTTGCTTAAAATGTTTTAGAAAAGTAAAATTTGGGTCTCCAGAAGTTTACAGCTAACGCTGGTGTTAAACAAATAAGGTCCGCCTTTTTAGTTTTATTTACCCTTAATTCACCATAAAACTGAAATATAAATTTCCTGATGCACTGAATATTTTATACATGTTCCGTATTACTCTACAAAAGACAGCTTTATAAAAAAACATTGATCGTGACAGCTTGTATAAGAAAAAGAAATTTGTTCTTTTCAAATATATATAAAATATTTGCAACACTGTTAATGCCAGAAAATAAAGCATGAAACTCTACGTTTGTAAATTCTGTTCTTTATAGCTTGCACATTTCATTGACTTTTATTCTAAGTTTTCAAAATTGTATTTTGTTTTGTCACCTGTGAAATCTTATTATAAAATGTAAACATAATTTAATTCAGTTTCATTTTTCATTAAATACGAAATATCGCTCGGCAAAATTTATTTCTATAATACTCAATTTATTATATACTGAAAAAGAAGAAAATTGTAACAAGTTTATAGTTTTATTTAGTACAGTTTCCCCCCTTATTCTTTACTTCAACATGACTAGCCGTTATGCCAACCTTAGGCCTTGTTCTTTTTAAATTATAAGATTGCTTCAGGGTTGAATAAAAACCTCGCCAAATCTTCGAGAACTTGCTTGATCTGGAAGAACAACCATATTTGAAGAGACAGGTTCGATGCGTGTTAAATGGGTCTCAGAATCAGCTCAAGAACTGGTGACGTAATCATTGAAGGCGATAATAATGATAGATTTTTCTCAATGAGAGAAGAAGCTTGAAAACTTACCTTTACATTTACTTTCTCCTCAGTATTTCGTTTCTCTGAAAACAGATGGACTTTTGACTTTCTTTTCACCGAAATGGATACATTTGTCCCTGGAAATAAGCATTCGGGTGGTTTCTCTTAAAACAGGAATTTTCTCTCTTAAGTATGACTGCAAGTGAGTGTTGTTATTTTAGAGATTATAAATATCTTAAACATATCATAAGCATCTGAAAGTGACTTTTATCTACTTAGCTTTTCAGAATTATTTCACTTCCAAGTTTAAGTTTTGATATTTGCATATTTGAATGATTTCATGAATATTTGGATAAATGTGCAGATGAAACTATAGGTTTTGAAAACGCAGCGGAACTAATTCGAAATTAGTAAAACTCGTATTTGAAGCTAATTTAAAACTCAGTTAAATCAACTGGCAAATATCACGCATTATATTTTTGACAACTGGTGTGCTTCTAAGTGAAATAATTATTTGACATCAAATATGATTTTACTGCATCTTTACAAAAACCTCTATGGTCTGTTTGTTTATTGTACATTTCTTTGAACAAGCAATAACGTAGCAAAACTGTTTATAATTTAAACTCTTCTGTTTCAGTTAAGGATTATAGCAACACGTGGATGCTATAAATTATGCTCAATATTTTAAAGTTTGAACCTTTACGTAGAGTATTTGCCCATTATACGAAGTATTTTTTAAGAAAAAAATTACTCATTAGAAAAACATAAATTAATGAATATGAAACACGACATTTTGGAGATATAGAGATTTCTCTTCAAATCCTTACGTTCTTAAGAATCATCAACATTTTCCAAATTTTGGCCATATTTAAGGGATAAAATGAATATACTTATTTGACAATTTCCACAGTAACTGATATGAGTGTTTACAAAACTGCATCCAAATATATTTCCTTAAATTTGTGAATTTATCAATTTTGGTCAAATCACAGAACAGGAAAATAACTCATTTTTGTAAAACAAAAGTCCATGACACGCCAGTTATCTGAAACAATTCTTTAACTCGATAAAAGTAATGTAATAATAATTTTCAAATTTTTTAGTATTGTGTCAAATGTCACGCAGATTGCTTCTGCAGAAAGTGGGCAGGAAAGGAAAGACGTGAAAATAGTTGGAGGATGTGTGCGCATCCGTTCAAGGAATTTTCCCTGCGCCCCCATCACTTCTTAAAGATGCCGCTGCCAGGACGATTCAGGAGTCCAAACTGACCGGAGTTTTCTCCGGACGTTCAGCGGAGAAGGACGATGGCGCGAAGGCAGTATCGTTCGCAGTCAGTTGCCAACTCAGACCCTCGAAGTCCATATTTTACGAATGACTGGCTTCAGACCACGCGAGGCAGAATGCTTCGTCGCTCACCAAGTGTGGCTTGCGTACCTCATTATGATGCCTGTTGCACTAGGACCTACAAAAACTTTGAAAGAAAAAGAAGAAGTAACATTCCTGGCCTCAACCTAACTTTGTCTCCTACTGATCCCAAAGCTACCACAATTCGTCAGCATTACTATCCCGAAGGCGGTTGGGGTTGGATTGTATTGTGCTGTGCACTCATTATGAATATTATTGCAAGTACAATGCAGATTTCAGCAGGATTCCTTATACTCGAGATAAGAAGCCACTTTTTAAAAGGCCAGCAGTCTGTAGAACCAGGTAAGCAATTTCCATTTTTCGTAATACATTTGCTAATTATACTTGAAATTTTAAATTTTATGTTAATCCATACTTCTGCAGGGTGATTAAGCTCGGTTCTTAGCGTCGAGCATTTTATTCAGTTATGTTCTCTTAATATTGTAGTAAATTTTTCAGATCTGAGTAATCAGTTTTCTCATATTTAAAAGCAAAATGATTTTTTTAAATGAAGCTAATGTTCATAGATATATCAGTATTAAGCAACTAATTTAAAGACTGTTAAAAGCACTAAACATCCAGGTGTCTTAAAAGCTTTCAGCAGAGAAAGTGCATTTGTGGTAAGATAAATGGTAAATATAAAGGGATGTTAAGTCCTGGCCGTTTCATAATGTTTTAAACATAATTTTGGGTATTACGGTAATAATAAAATTGCTGACTAAACATATTTCTCCGTAAACAAGTGATAGGCGTCTCTGACAGAGACTTAGGGAGGTGTACTTTACTAATACACAGGAAACATAAGTGATTAGTATTCTCATCCTGAGAATTTCTGATTTAGAATCTTGTACAGTTTTATTCACAGCTTAACCAGCCAGCCACATATTTTGAAAAATATTTCACTTAGTAAAGTTACAAGGTATTTTCTTCCTTCTTTCTGCATGTCATCGGGGTGTAATTGGAATCATATTCGACGCTTATTCGAGAGGTCCAGGATTCGAGTCCCGGCGAGGGCCGTGCACATTTTCACTTCTCCAGCATCATTAATAAGTTCGGCATACGTTTTACAAACCATAATTCTATGATTTATAGATCGCTATAAAAAAACAGTTATTCAAACAATACGGTATTGGGTACTTTTCCGTTTCGCTGGCGCAAATCTCGCCAAGCAGACTTTGTTGGCGATAACATACAGTATACACATAAAAAAATGTTAACAAGTGTTAATTCTAAGAATTGTTTTATTTTGAAGGCATAAACATTTTAATATGGTTTAAAATTTTTTAAAAAGCCAATAAATAAATACAATAAATTTGTAAGAAGACATTAATTTAAGAATTTTCATGGTTCAATTCTTGATTCGCCGGTTCGTATCACGTGACCCCAAGTGATCTCATCTCATGTAAACTACGCTACAAATATCTAATTCTCTCAGTAATTATCTACATTAATTTCAAGTTAAATCTTAATTTGTAATACAAGTTTAAATGCAAGAATTATTTCAATTCGTACGAATAGCTTACTCAGAAATTATGTAAAACCGCAGTGCTTTACTTCGCTAATACATCCTCATTAGAATTGATGAATTTGACACTTGATTTTGCCTTTTCTATACTCCTTCGGGTGAGTGGTGTCATTGCATTCTAATTGACTTAATTACCGCGAATTGTCTTAGGGCATAAAATTTAACTATCTTGTAACAATTCTATGTAATTGTATGACAGCATTGAAAGAAACAATCAATCTAATAAGAAATAGCTGCGACTTGTTTTGAAAATGAGGCGTAAAAGGTTACCAGTGAAGATATTCCGTTTGGCATCAGTTGTACCATTATTGGCGACTTTATCGTTTGCGCCGGCAAAACAGAAAAGTACCCAATATTGCTGTAAGACTAGAAATAAAATTCAACACTAAATTTGTAGAGTTTGACTATACTGATGATTCAGTGTTATTTCAGCATGACAGAAAGAAAATTAATAAAATATTTCGTCATTTAAACTGTGCACTATGCGATTTTTTTTATACACAATAGATATCATGAATATTTTCATCCATTTCACTAATGATATATATGCTAGGACAAGTAAACTTCCAGAGCTGTTCGAAAGAATGTGTGAAGTAGCGGGACCGTTGAGACAGTCACATTCAAACATTGTTTGATAAATGGCTTTCTAGTAACTACTATTTGGCATAAAGTATAATTAATAAAAAAATAGCTCTTCACTAAGGACATGATTTTATTTTTACACTATCAACGCTGTCGCACTCTATGTAAGCAATCATACTGATTCTGCCCTGTACAAGTAGGTAGGATATTTATGGCACACATTTTCATGTATTTATTAGCAACAATAACAGATACTTTTGTGAAGATACAAGTACCAGAAATTTTAGAAGAATGTTCAAATTTCTGTTGGACAGCATGAGATTTTCTAACGCCTCCTTCATTTTCTCTTTGCTCTTAATCATTAATAGCTTCATTGCTGCTATTTCTTGCACAGTTTTAATGAATGCTTCCCTAGTTTCCTTGTAGAAATTTTGCTTATAGATTATACACAATGTTTGGAGGAAAAACTATAAAACATTATAATTTTTGCATAAAATACCTAGATTGTAAAACAAATATCTTTAAAAAAAATATTCTGTCAAAATACCTATCAATAATTTTTTATATTATAAAAATAAATTATAACAGTATTTAAAACTAAACTGAGAAGCATCTCAATCTCAAATATCAAACTCTACTGTATTTGTGTTGTAAAATATTTAGTATAACTCATTCCAACTCGAAATTACTTTCTGCGCTGTTGTTATAAATAAACGTGTGTGTGTATTTAACCGTCTTAGTGACCTTGTATCGAAAAAAAATTAATTAATGTTAAATGTAATCTGATAAATAGAAATAATAAAAATTGAGATATAAAATAAGCACATTACATCAGCTTAAATCGAAAGAAGTGCACGGAAAATGTAAACTGAAAAATATCCGCGGTGAAACAAAATATTCAAGCACTTTGCTTATTTAATTATTTTCCATTAAACTGTAGCAAATAAGTATGAAAGCAAAAGAGATACTGAATTCCCCGTTGGCTACTGTTTTGTCTACTGAAAATGTAAATTCCAACTATTTGCAGTCAGAAAACCTACAAAAGGACTTAATTGCAAGTCGATCAGCCACGGTTCAATTTATCAGCCATCTTAAAAATATTATTCTTTAGAATACTCTCAAAATATTGTCTTTCTCCAAATTTCGAATTATGAGTAGAATGGTTACAGTTTTGCATATAGCACTGATGACTGGGAACCGATAGACGTTTCGCCCACGAACCCACGCTAATACGAGGCAGCTACTAAAAGGAGGTACAGCGCCCGCTCGTTGATAAACTCAACCACTTAATGCTTTCATATTTCCAGGAATTAAAATACCTAATCAATATTAATGACCGCAGTTTGTTAGACTTTATAAGTGTAATAAACTGCGCTTATAAAACTCAGATTGGCAAAAGACTTATATCCGCCGCTTATAAAACTCAGATTGGCAGAAGACTCTTTCATCGATGTTATAACATTCTGCTGATACGAATCAAAGCTTTCCGTAGTTCTTCCATTTAATATATTGTGGACTGTGGCTTTATGGGTCAAGGGTTCTTTCTCGAAGACAGCTGAAAGAAGGTGAAAGCACAACTTTTGTATCCTATCTTTTAAGTTTTACCTATTCTAGATATTTTCTTTGGGTTAGACCCATAATGTTCACAAAGAGTTGTAAATAAGTTCATGAAATGTTTGTTAGCATTACCGTACTTTAACATTCTTTGAATATAAAGACTATGATAACTGTAGAATGAAAAAAAAGCAAGTCATGCTTGTAATCATGAAGTGGCAAATCGACTAAGTAGACAAAAATCAATTTTTCTGTTGTCTAGAAACTTTGAGTTTTGAAGTCTGAATAAATAACTTGAAAAAGCGTTTGCTTAATTTATTTTTGTGCGTTTAACTCGTAACATATCTAAAATGCCAAGCAGAAAGATTTAAGAATGAATGAAAAGGATAAATTGTTAAAAGATTTTGATGTTTTTGGTAATTGCAGCTACAGAAAAACTACTAAGCTAGGAATTTCCCAAACAGCATTCTGCAGGTTACTTAAGCAAGATATTATAGTTAATGAAAAATGAATACAAAAGGCAAATATCTTAAGAAAGCTCAAAAGCGATAGATAATCAAGGGACGTTAAAACTGCTTTTCTAGAAGTGTTTCAATGGATGAAAAAGAAGAGTTTTATTTCTAGGCTTTTTTCACTCATTCGCTATATGCTTATGAGAGGATTTTATAGCAAGTAATATATGGCTCACAAGATGAAGAAAGTGAAATCCAACATTTTTTATCAGAAATTGCATGATGAGAAGGAAGAAGCGAATTATCATGGAACTGATAACTCTATACAAGGCGTTTTACATAAGGCTGCTAAATGAATAAAAACCGCTTGAAATTTATAATACAGACGAAACTGCACTAGATTACAGAACATTACCAGAACACAAATGCATATTTAAAAGTAAAACAGCAATTGGCTTAAGAAACTGAAGAAATAAGTTACTATGTTATTAAAGTGCAAGACGGACCCAGTTATTCAAAAGAAGCACTGGTTATTAATAAAAACAGGAAGTTCCGATTTTTGAAATTAGTCAAAAATTTCCTTCTAACATAGCAACAAGAACTCATGGATGACAAATAGTATTTTTACTGATTTTCTTTTGAAATTGGACAGCGAATAGAAAAATCATAAAATAACTTTACTAATTAAACAACTGTGTAGAACACACTTCTGATCTCTTTCTTTAAAACATTAGTGTCGCTTTCTGCAAATACAACTTCTAACATTCCGCATTTGAACCAGGCTATCATAAATGCCTTCAAATGTCGTTATAGAAAATGATGAACAGAACTGGATTTTGTGAAAAATGCAGGCATTTCAAAGGAATTAAGTAAGTTGATAGCTCTGCTAGAGGCCATGCATAGTATAGTCAATATAGAGAGTTAAGCTCTTAAAATCAGTTAAAAAGTGTTTTCGAAAATATGGCTTTTATACAGAAAAAGCTTCTGAACAATTGCAAGCTACAGCTAATGTTTGAGACATCAGGGAGAGAAGTCATGAAGATTATCTTTACAATATGTGCCGATTTACAAAACTATTGAGGCAGCGTGTGTAAAAACTGACAGTGAAAGTGATGCAGAAAAAGCGATGATATGACAATATTAATTGAATCTAGAAAAGGACTGCACATTTTTAAGTAAACTCAAAGGTG